GTGAAGCGCACTTCAATGTCAGCTCACTGAAACAGTCCACAACAACAGGCTAGGCCATGATTGCTAGTCAGTGTTACTTTTTCTCGCAGTAGAAATTCTCATATGTTGGAACTGATAAAGAAATAAAAACACAAAAATAAGAAATACAAACAAAAAACAAACAATTTTTCCGCAAACTAATAAACAAAAAATTCTACAGTAACAAATTAAATCATCAGCCAAGAAGACCAGAGAACTGGCACAGTCCCTACAGTTCCGTCCACTGACAATGATTACGAACAAATGTTCCAAAGCAAATTTGAAACATCTACATCCCATTCACTTGAGACTGCAGACTGAAGTCCAATGAAGCTGGAAGACTGTTGCTGAAGTCCTAAGTTTTAAGCCAACGACCAATTCCTCAAAATCTAAGCTTACCGCTTGTCTGGTTGTGAAGGAAGCGCTTGATCTTATACACACACACACACACACACCACACCTACACACACCACCTACACACACAACCACCACCTGTACACACCACTATCTACACACACATATACGCACACATATACGAAGACAGAGGAAAAGTCTCGTTAACATGAGTTCCTGCAGTTCCATACATATAAAAACGTACAGAAATCTGTACTAGCATTGTATAAAAGCGGACTCGACCTGGGCTGCTGAAATCCCGAGATGGCTAATTGATACTCGAAGCACGTCATTGGACATAGCTGCAAACTGTCGCCACGGACAGATCTGGTATTGGTGACATTCACCGGCCCTAGCAAGCTCAACTTTTTCGGACAATCGATTTGCAGCATATTTTTTTTAGACAAGAAAGTCTGAGAAGGCCTTTCTAAGGGATCGGAAATAAAAAGTTTGAAAAATTGAACGGAATGCTTGAACAGTTGTTCTACGTAACTTCTTTTGTGTCATCTTCTTTACCTTATCACTATCTACGTTAACTTCTTTCGTGTTATCTTCTTTATTCGTTACCACTATCTTCTTTAACTTATTATATTTCCCTCCCCCCATCAATTTAATAAAATGGTCACCGGATTTTGGATCCACTCCATCTTATGGACGGCCTATTCAGGGTCATCTAGTACCGGTTCAGCCCTTACTTTTCCTAATTCCCAAACGGTCCATGGGGTCTTTTACTTTTCAAAAGATTACAAGCTAGAGCGATAGCTTAAAGCATACTGTTGCTGATTGGTGATAACCAAACCACTGGGTATTCCAGAAGTTTCGCAGCTCCCAGCTGACACGCCGAAATCACGATCAAACAAAAGCACAAGTCGTATTTGCTCA